CTGCATGGGATTGTTATGGCCAAAGTATAACAAACAAAATGATAGTGAAATGCTCTTAAGCCACAGCCCATTAAACAAGTAAAAACAACATTTGAAGGGCTTTTTATTTCCTAGCTGTGGGTGTTACATTTGGCAGTTATTCAGGAAATGCAAGTTTTAATATTCAGTCCCTCATTTCACATATATTGCTCCTGTCAGTCGTTCCTCTGGAAGGGCAATGTATTTTTGACTGAATGCTTCAAACTATTTAGGTCCTGATTTGTGCTGTTTGTTGAATTCGTAGAAAAAGATCCCTTTCATGTAAAGGCCTGTGGAGATTGCAACTCTTGAAAGTTTTGATAAGCAGTGAAATATAACCCTATGGAGCTTCCCATGCCTGTCAGACACAGGACAGGACAAAGGCTGAGGCTCCAGCTGAGGAGATGTGCCCTTTGCTGGTGGCCTCCCTGCCTGCTGCCTTCAGCTTGCTGCCTGGAGGTCTCACCACCACAGCTCCACCATCAGAGCAAGTTGTGTCTACCTCAAGTGACCTTTTTTCCTTCCCCTTCTCCATCCTAGGAAGTATTTTTTTCTACAACCTCTCATATCCATGCCTTTGACATAGGTTCTGCTGTGACCTTTCCCGTGTTCTTTAATACATGGTTTAGTTTTCTGGGTGTTCTGTGGTGAGGAGCATGGGCTTTGTATCCAGGTGTCTCAATGAAATGCACTAGTTAATGTCTAGGCATCTGGTCATTGTAAAAAGTGCTTGAAGTCTTAAATTCTATGAAACTGCTTCCAGTGATGGTTTAGAAACTTAATAAGCATCTTGTGTTATGATTAAGGTAAAGACCCAAAAGGAAGTTGTATTTGCAGGGGCATCCATGTCAATGGCAAGGGAAGTCAATATTCACATCTTACATACTGAAATCTATTGGCAACACCTTAAGCCTGGGCAAATAACAGGAGTTTAGCTTCCTAAGTCAAGTGGTTTCCTTAACCTTTTGGGAAAGGTATAATCCTTTACCATTTGTCCATTTGAATCAGAGGTTTTGTTCTGATGCAGAGACTGTTGCTGTTCTTGTGTGCTGTGTTTTATAGGAACAGGCTGCTGTTAGACTAAATATGTTGCCTTTTCTTCTGCCTTCACTCCTAAATGTTTGGAAATAAAATATTTGTAGCCACTTGTTCTTATTTGCTAATGAATCTATTACCTTGAATACTGCAAGTGATCTTATTGTTGGTTCCCAAGGAAGAGCTATGCTTGCAAGGTGGTATTACATTTTGGATTTTATGTACTTAGAATTAACTACTTTTGATTGTTTGATAACTGTTGCTGGTATCATTCTTATAACCATCTGCATCTTTCTTTTGCAGCTTGGGTCCTGTGTTTGCGCTGTTTGTACCATTTTATTCCTCCATTCCAAGAGTACAGGTGACACAAGTATTAGGCCACTTTTCTATCACAAACAAGACTCTGGTCTACATACTGGGTTTACAGGTATGGTATGTACTTGCATGTTCATCTTTTAATGAATTACTGTAGTGGTAGTTAGTATTTCTGTATGTTTGTCTATGAATTTTGATGCTTCCACATGTATGATTTGGCATATGTTTAGCTAGTGACTAGTCCATCAACTAAAATGCAGAAAAACATGTGTTACTAGTATGCTGACATGGTGGCAAGTAATATTGTACATTGTCTCCTGTCTTGATTGTCTTACATGGGAAAATAGAATAGACAGTTCTCCAATTTATTTTTTTTGGCCAGCAAAATGAACTCGATGAAAACAGAACCTGATGCTAAAGCATATGTATCTTTCACATTTTTAGTTTCCTTTTCTTCTTGATTTTGTCTGTTTTTCCCATGTCTGTTAGACTTCAGATAAAGCTATAGAATACAGGATTCTTCTGTGGTAAGACTGTTGGTAAATAATCAAGGTTTTGGCTGCATTTCACTTTTATATAAATTAAGAGTACCTGTATATCATGCATTACCATGTGACAAATAATTTAAAATAGTGTAACATAGAGCACAGCAGTATCATGTAGTATTTAGCAAAATATGACTGGAAGATGCATCCACTTGGTATAGAAAGGCAGTAGTTGTTAAAAAAAACAGTTGCAAAAACCCAGCAGCCTAGAAATGAAAGGACACTCATGTCACAACCTGAATTATGGAACAGGAGATGTGCAAACTTATGAAAAATTAGGTTCATTGTTTTATATTCCAGGAATGGAAAAATAGCACCAGCAAAGGAAAGCACCATAGTTGTGTGTGGTGTGGTAGAGAGTATTTTAGAATGAATGGTTGGTTTCAGAATATTGACTCATGCTCCACATGAACATTTAATTCACCTCCTTTGCTGTTCAGCTTTTGGATTCCATCAGTTTCAGCTCCAGGACTTTATTTTCTTGATGGCTCAGATATTTTGTTTCCTCTCTTCCGAAGCCATCAATAGCACTATTATTCCATTTTTGGGGGAAAGCCATGATATTGAGCTCTTTTCCATTGTGTCCCTTGCCTTTTGCTTTCATATGCACACCACCTCCAGTACAGGTCACTGCTCTTACTAACCTCTGTATCTTCCTGGGATCTTCTCCTGCCGCGTACAGAACGGTTGCTGCCATCACACCGAGGCTGAGAGAAGTCTCATTTCCCTTCTCATTTGTAAACTCTGCCCTTATCTCAAGT